CCCCCCCCCCCCAAAGCCCAGCTCTGCCGGGGCGCACGCCCGCCCAGAAATGACTGCGGGGTTGAGCTCAGTGTGTCCTGCCCGGTTTAATGCCCCTCACTCATCTCTTACTCCTCAAAATCCCCTCGGGCCCTCTCTGCTGAGCGTGGGCCCAGCTCGTAGGAGGCTCCTCCATCACCCCCAGAGCCGAGGCGGTGGTGCGGTTCCGCTGAGCACCACGCTGCTTTCCCTGGGAGTACCCCAGGAACCGGGGAAGGGCCGAGGGGTCTCCGGGCACCCCAGAGCCTCTCTGCTCCAAAACCAGCACGCTGGAGCCGGCAGGGGTATGACCCAACACCCCCAGAGCGAGCTCCTGTCCCCCCCCCCAGCAGCCCCTTGACGGAGGGAACAGTGGGGATGGGCCCCAGGGCTTGTAGCCACCCTGGCACCCTCGCCCACTGCCCACAGCCCACCTCGCCCCACGGCTGGGCTTAACTCCGGCAAGCAGGGACAAATCCCACCGTGTCCCGCTGCAGCAGGAGCCAAGGCAGCGGGGAACAAGCCCTGCAAACGCTGACCACCTAAGTGCAAAAGCAGAATTCCAGCTTCCCCAGGAAGGACAGTCAGGGGGCAAGGCTCAAGCGGAGGCTGCAGCAAGTCCTTGTCCCGTCTCTGCGCTCACCACACTAGAGGGAATCAGCACTCCACGCTTCTCCCTCCAGCAGCCGCGGAATGAGAGCTCTGAGCCGGCCCCAAACTGCCGCCCTCGCCTCCCCTCAGCTAGAGCTGCAGAGGAAGGGGCAAAGAACACCTTAGGGAGGCTGCTGGACCCACACAAACCTCCAGCCACTTGGTGCAGCTGCAGAACATCCCCTCGTGGGACCCCACAATCCCTCGGAGAGAAGAGCGGGCACCAGCCTGGCTAAGCCCAGGACCCGCCTAAGCCCAGGACCCGCCTCTGCTGCTGGTCTTTTACTTACCAGAGCTCAGGCTCAAAGCTTTCACAGCTGCTTGAGAAGTCAAAGCTGTCTCCCTACTATGGCCGGGTGGACGTTATGCTTGAGATGCAGGAGCACACCGAGGCGTGTTCACGGTCATGAACAGCAGGATGTTCCCCCTCCATGGGTCTCCAATGTCCTAGGTGCAGGCTTGAGATTTACCCATAAGAAAGCAACTCTCAATCAAACCCCCAAACATCTGGATGTCAACAGACTATTATGCACAGAGAGTCTTTTAGGCCAGCGATGCTTTAAAAAAAAAAAATCAGTTTATTTTACCTTACAAATCATAAATAATTTGGTTTTTAAAAAAAAAAAATCATTTCAAGTGTGTTTTACTTCATGTTGCAATATTAAAATACCTTTCCCTTCTCCCCCCTTAAGTGATCAATACAAAAATAATTGCGACCAAATTATTATTTTTTTTTTTTCCTTTCGTCAAAAATTCCTGTATTTTAGGCAAAAAGGCACATTGTGAAGGCTTTTCACCAGGAGGTACAGGGGTTCACAATGACCCCAAGAACCTCTCTGCCCTCCCTGCTTGTTCTAACGTGAGAGGAAGAGGACACAGGAACCAGGGAGCACTCCTGCAGTGCTTGTTGTCTGATGCCCTCCAGGTGTATACCAGGGCCAAGGGCAGCTTCAGTGTTGTCCCTGTTTTACATGTAGGGGAAACCAAGGCACAGCAAAGCAGTACAATTATCTAAGAGCTTCTTGTGAACAGCTGGCAGAGTAGGACATAAAACTGGATATAGATGTAGGATGGTGTCTGCTTCGGAACGACAGCACAAACCCACCTGGGATCACCCTCCCCCCTTGCAACCACAGTGGTATAATGGCAGTCACAAGTCTCTAGATGCTTCTTTCTTAGTGGGAGAGTCACAGGACCAACGCAAAAAGTTGGGCCTTCACTAGTCTAAAAAGGGATTAATTAGAGCCCTAATTATCAGCCCTTTGGGGGCAAAATCATCGCTGGGATGTATCTCCCCATTATATCTTCTAGTCACAGGCAGGATAAAATAGCCACTTGGATACTAGGAAAAGCTACGGGCAGGCTCTTGCTTTGGGCAGGCTTTGCACCTTCCTTGCTCAGGGTATGTGGTCCCATAAATCAGCTCTTTTCCCATTGGGTTACTGCTGTTGCATCACCAGGAGGTGGCGAAGTCAGTGAAGGGGCTTCTTCAGCAGCAGAGATGTTTGACAACCCAGGTCATCAAGACCATTTCTCTCCCTGCCCTGACCGCTCATCAGGATGCTCGAGGCTGATAACTGATCAGCGCCGCCTCCTTTCACCTCTGCTAACACCAGAGCAGGGCAAAACACACCCCTGCCGGTGCTTCACCCCAGAAACCTGCAGCTCCTGCTTCTTCCAGGGAGCTGGCAGGAGAGCATCAACACACAGGGAGCTGATCCCACTTATCACAGTATGAGAGAGTCACAGGGGGCCAGAAGGAAAGGCACACACACACAGAGAGCTCTCCTGGTACAAGGCACTGCTGTGAACCATAATTCCTTCTTTGGAGCAGCCAGCTCCAGGAAGCCCTTAGCATCATAAATGGTGGCAGGAGGCAGATGAGCTGCCCCTTGAAAAGGTCTGGCCTGGCTCTGCTAGGTCTCCTCGTCCCAGAGACACAGCTGCTTCTGCGGCACGTAGTAATCGAAGGTGTAGCCCTTCTGGCAGCTGCGGATGCCACATTTGTAAGAAGAAACCTTGCCCCCAGCATCGCGGCTCTTGCAGTACTTCAGCATGCACGGGTACCACTCGATGCTCAGCGAGTAGCTGCAGATGCAGGGTTTCCAGCGGTCTGCGCACAGCTTGCAACGCTGCAGGTCGGGGAGATCCGATGTCTGCGGCAGGACCTCGAACATGGAGCCATCCACCCCTGCGGGAGAAAGCAGAGGGACATCGCTCAGGGCACTGCCGAAAGGCAAGGCCAAAGGAGAGAGCCCCCAAAGCAGGCGCTGGGCTCTCCACACGGTGTCCAGGAGAGTTGAGGAGGAGGTGGTTAGACAGAGTGCATGTCCAGGGGCAATCTGGACACGAGTCCTAACAGGAACCACAGGAGAAGCAAGAGCCCTGGGGAAAGTAAGCCAAAAGACAAACTGTGTAAAGAACGTATTTCTTTTGGGTGACGGACCAGGTGAAAGGTTACCTTGAAAATACCTACCATTAGGTTCACTAGGAGAGCACCACCAAAAGAGACTGGTGCACTGTGCTGTGCGAGCAAGCGATACGCATGCCTTACTCACCGTATAGGCAGCGAAAGAGAAGCCAAAATCATCTGCACTGATTGCCAGAAACCTGGCAGGGAAGATCACAGCGGAGTGCCAACTTGCTGACAGGAGCAGTTCCAATGAAACCGAGGGAAACTTACCTTTCTCCAGCCAAAATTTGACATCATCTTCTCGGGTGTAAATCGCTTCTTTGGCCTCTGCACAGACGTTGTGGATGTGATTGCTCAGCTGGGCCCCCTTGCTGAAGTTGACAGCTACATCCATGCTGAGATGCTCCAGGCCCCGCACCTCCTCAGCCTGCCGCACTGTCCTGGGGTTTTTCTGCGGAGGATGAAATAGCAAAAACCTGAATCCTGGTTGCAACAAATTATTCCTTACAGCACGTCGCGATTTCATGCCAACCTAAGATGATGCGCAACTGGATGTCCCTCTGCAAACGCACCTGCACCCTATCTGGAGGGAAGGCACTTCACACTGATGCTGAAACTGGTGAGAGTTCGTCACTGCTCTGATTTGCCTGCGACCGTTTCTCAGTGCTTGGTCGTGATGAACGGCCCCAAGTCAGTGCTTACTTCACCGGGCAAAGCAGGGCAGGGATTTTCATGGTGATTGCTCTGACCATCCTCCTGCCCTTTGATACAGACCAGGCTGAACTAAATCACGTCTCCTTCTGGGATATTAGTAGAACAGGATCAATACTATTGATAAACTTAGTTTAATACCAAGTCCCTCAAGCAGGAGGAGTGACTAAAGGTGGGTCTGACAGCTGCAGAATCAGGCAGCTGCCTGGGAAGGGTATCCAGCTCTAGGAAACCCTGATGGACTGGGGGACGGAGGCGGCCCTGCAGCCAGCCTCAGGGTGCCCCTCACCTGCCGCAGCTTTGCCATGGACTCGCTGGGGATGATCTCGTTGCGGTGAAGCCGCGTGACGAAGCAGAGAGCTTGGAACTGGCTTTGGCCCCTCTCCAGCTCCCCCAGGATTAAGGCACGGAAGATCTTCACCTCCTGACAAAGACAGAAATAGAGTGAGAGTCACAGATCTTTGGCATTGGCGGGGTGAACCGAGAAGTCAGGGTTAAAGCGCAAGGCTCCACAGCCCGAAGAACAAAGTCAAAGGTCTCGTACTTCTACCCAAGCTCAAGGGTGCAGTCCCAGGTTCAATCCCACCCAAAAGCCTGCAGCGTAACAACTGGTGTCTGTAAAGAAGGGAGGGTTTTCGCAATCCCACTGTGGCAAGGACAACTTGCTGCCAGGTCACATCCCACATCCACGGCTTCCTCAAACAATAGCTGGAGGTTTCTATCCTTTACCAAGCAGGGAGGCAAACCTCCAAGGAGTCTCGTTTTGTTTTGTTAAGCAAATATCACACAGTCGTTGTCTCCATGCACTACTCAGGGCAAGCAGGACCAAATTTTCTCTACTGCCTTCCCTCACTTGCAGCTGGCATCCTGGAGAACAAATGATTGACTTCTGAACCCAACAGCATGTGGAAGAGAAATGAAAGTTAAATTGTTAAAGCCAGAAAGAACCCATTATGATCAGCCGCCGCTGACCTCCTTTTTCTGCCTGGGTCAGTAATTTTGGCATTTTATAGAGAGAGCTTCTGAAATGGACTGTAGTCCATCTCCAAATCCAGCTTGGCAACCAGCACGGTTACCTTCACGTTGACTCAGTAGCAAAACCTCCCCACACCCTGTCCTGGCATGGATTGACAGTGATTTCTATGCAGGTAACAAATCATCGGGCTTCTGGGGCATCTGCAGACTCTGCAGGAATCCGCCATCCCCTGTCTTGGTGTCAGACCGCGCCACCACCAGGGCTAAGCAGATGGATCGGAACGGTGTCTCCTCAGTACGAAGAGCAATTATTGCCTCTTGGCACCCAACCGCAGCCATCACTTAACAACGTCCTCCGCAGAGACCGGACAGATATGGGTGGCGAGGGAGCAGCAAGCAGAAGCTGTGCCAAAGCTGCTAAGATCATCCCTCCCCTCCTGAGCTATTCCTGCCGGATGGCTCATAAGCTCAGCTTCTTCCAAACCTCATTCCGCTCCGAGAAGAAGGGAGCCTTTCTCTTTTCTACAAGCTCTGAGCAGTGTCTGTGCTGAGCTTTTCTGCAGACCAGCTCATACAGCCCACTATTTATTCCCTGCCTTCTCTTCCATGTCCAGAAGAGAAATGGTTACGCAATTCAGTGCACATCTGGACAGATGAAAGAACAGCTGCAATCGGGAATACGTTCCCCTCCCCAGCACAGGAGAAAGGGTTTTGCTGGGTGCATTTGTTGGCTGAAAATCTGCCATAAGAGGAGGATGTGAAGGAAGTTTGGGAAGAAAGAGCCACCAAAAAAGCTTGGGAAATTACTATGGAATCATTATTTTTTTGAGAGCTTTAATGGGGAGAATTCCCACTGAGACATTGGCACCACTGGAATGATCTACACTTAGTCCAGCTGAGCTCGTCCGCTGGGAGCTCCCGTACTGTGCAGGGCCCAAGGATGAGCAGACTTAAAGCTAGCAGCTCACCCTGGCATATTCTTCAGCTGCGAATTTAATTTTAATTCACTTTGAACAATCAGCATTCAGTCTGGAAAACGCAAACAGGGATAGCCATGTTTTGCACTCGGAATGAAAACCTCTACAGGCAGGAGATTAAAAACAGTGCGGTACTTCCCAGGTTGGAGGCAATTTTTGTAAAATGAGAACATGCTGAGCAACTGATTAGTCCTCCTGATCTGCCTATTTAAGAATTAGCCTTCAGACATCCAACTCTCTTTCCTCCTCCCAGCTGATACGTGCGAGAGATTCACAGCTCGCACTGCTCCTCGGCAGGATCTCGAGCTCCCAACTGATCCCACGGAGCTGCAGGTCCCTGGCTCTGCCTCCAAAGCCCGGAGTCCCCGCAGAGTCTGGGCAGAGATAAGCTCCCTCCCAGGCGGGCGCAGGTCCCAAGGCACCACTCCCACAGTATGCAAAGGGTTCCTGCACCCAGTGACCCTGTTCAGTGAAGAATTCGGACAGAGGTTTTACGTATCTGTTTTTTTTCCTGAGTTCCAAGCAAGCACGCCGGAGAGGAAGGACCAAATCTACGTCACATCAGTGCACCACTGGAGCAAACAAACAGCTCTTGGGCATCGAGACAAGCACCAACTCCCCCCTCCGAGCCGAGGCAGACACCAGGAGCAAGCCTGGCATGCACTGGGTCACCAGCCGGTGCCGTACTGCCCTCGACGCACCTTCTTGTGTCCCCTCCAGCTCCAGTCTTGCTCCCATCACACCAGCGAGGAAGTGACCTGGGGCTGCTGCTCAGCTAATCTAAATATTTACCTGCCTATCTCTGTGTGCTTCCTGAATTATAGGTTGATCCGTCCGCGATGAGTCCTCTGGTATAGATCCTCTGGTAAAGAGAGTGACTGCCCCGAGCTGCCTCCCTCCACGCCTGTAACCCCCCCGCCACGCCAGGCTTGGGTCCCCCAGAGAGGGGTCATTTCTTCTCCTGCTCCCTGTGTCCCCAGGGCTTCTGGCCCATGTCCCTCTCCCAGCTCTGTCACATTCCAGATCATCTAAAGCAAGTAACTGAGGCGTGAAGAGGGCTCTGGTGCTGCCTGAACTCCAGGTGTCAGGGATTTCCAGCACATTTACTGATACTGCGGGAGGCGCACTGGGAAAGACAGGAATGGTCTGGGTTTGCCCGCACTGAAATAACCAGTGAACCAATGAACAGCTTTAATCCAACTGTTCTGTTAGAGGAGCTGGCTCCTACGGCACGCGTTGGTCTAAAGAGAAAAATCCCACCTTCACCTGTCTCTGAGCAAACCCGAAGCAACCCTTGCTGTGCACTTCAGAGCAAGGCTAAAACTGTGCCACACACTGGCCCATTTTCTTGGGACGTGTGTCCTCTGCCGTAACCACTCTCTCCTGAGCAACCAGTCTCTTATTTTCCCCAGCCTTGCTTCACCCCTCTGTCTCAAAGCCTTGCTTGGCTTTCCCTAGCCTCCCAGCTCGCCCTGCAACCTCAGGTGGAGTAAGAACCCAAGCTTGTCACATCAAAAATATGTCACGCTCCTCACACTGAAAGAGCCACTGAAGTTCTTCCCACTCAGAGCGTGCCTTTCCCTCCGCAGCCACCTCACCTCTTTCCCACCAGCAGCAGCAGCAGGGCGAACCGGTGCCAAGGCGGGTACCCGGCCAAGGCAACAAACAGCACCTTTACTTCTGGATTTCTGCAAAATTTCCCAGCAGCAAACAAGTCCCAGCAGAACACTGCCTTTGCAACGCGGGGACTCTCCGGATGAACTCATCACGGGGGCGTTGAGAATCCTTGGCCCTGACCCGCACTCGTGTGGCGGGTACAGTTACAGCTATTGTTTAGGTTTGGACGACAAACGCTTGGTGTAACGGAGAACAACCAGTTCTGCAGGCGAGCTCTAACCGTGGCACTGGAGGTAACAGAAGCCTCGGCTTTCACAGCGAGGGGAGAGCAGCTCCTCTTTCCTAAAGGCTGAAAGGAAATCAGGGCACTCCCAACAGCCCAGGCTGCCTGCACTTAGGAAAAGGACTTCCAGCAAAGACTAGCCTGCAAGGAGGAGCAGGGAAACCATCCAACTTCTTCCCTCCTCGCCCTGTCCTCAGCCAGCTCCTCCAGGGACTGTCATCTGGGGTGCGAGAACAATTCAACCCCCATTCCTAGGCTCTATCCAATAGGGACTTACAAGCCTGTGTGGTCTAGATCTGAGCCCAGCATCTCAACTTCACATTGAGTGGAGCCTACCAGTTCCCAGGGAAATAAATTATTTCAATGTCTTCTTCCCCACAACCCATTCAGCTTTCCTGCCAAATTTCTCTCCCCCAAGCGCATCAGTGCTGCTGCGGGACCCACTTTTGTCTCTGTTGTCACACGCCCGCTCAGAGTGGGGGGGGTACGTGCAAGGGGCCACGCTGCTCGGGGCTCCGGGTAACACCGGTGCTCCCGGGCCTGACTCCTCACCCTGTCAGCAGCCTTTGCTGTGGTCTGGGCCCTGCCTGCACTGCCCTGGGGAAACAGCTACAGCTGGCCAGAAAGGCGTTGTGAACAGAAAGAATGTGTTATTGCATCCACGTCGGGGGGTCCAGCCAGCTGAGTTACCCTGCCTGGGTGGGGATTATGATTTTTAACCCCTTTCCTACTGGAACTGGCTGGAATGAAGACAGTTTGGTGCACTGCCTCTTAGACTCGGGTATCTATAAAGGCAAATTAAGGATGTGCTGGCAAGAGCGGAACCCCCCCCCCCATTTTCAGGAGCAATAGGGTTTGACCCTGACTCTTACAAGCACTGAGCAGCCAGAAATCCCCACAATGCTCAGAAAATCATCCTCTAGGTTAAGCATCCTTGTGCTCAGCACCACACGACATGAGCAATGCCTAAACGTGATTGTCAGAGGCCACTTTTGAAACTGGATCCTCCCTAACAAGTTCCTTCCCCAAAGCGGTGGGGTGAGCAAAGGGCAGCTCTGGCCCTAAGGCAGAGTTGAGCCCTGGGCTCGGCTCAGCAGCCCTCGCGCTGCCCTGGCGTGGGGGGCAGCTGCTTCACCCCCGTCCTCGAGGGCTCCGATCAAGAGAGAACATTCTGAGATACCTCACTACAGCTCAGGGTAACAGCCACCACCTTGGTTTAGAGCGCCATCCCTTCCGAGCCTTCCCAGAGAGCGCTGAATGATCCTCCTTTCATATTTTTGGCATCTTTACGGAGAAGAGACTGCTTTCCAAATTACACAGATACAGTCTTTGGGCAGATGCTTTCCTGTATCACCTAGCACCTAACACAGTGGACGCCTGGCAGAAGGAAATTCTCAGAACACCACCCTAGAATACCACGTAACATCGGCTTTATTAACAAGGACACTGAGAGGACTGGCAGTGCGAGGGTTAAAATACAATTGCCCGTGCTCTCTCCCTTGAGTTTCCAACTCAACTTTTTCCAGCAATCAAATGGAAAAAGAAATTTTAATCTTTGTGCTGACCTTGGAATGAAACCACCCACTTCGTTCTCAGGCCACTACTGATCAACTGGCAAGATCACACTAGTCAAAGGAGACACAACATTTAGGGTTGCTGTTCCCCCTCACTCTTTTTTGCAGTAGATTTTATGCCTGACAGTACTACACAAGGAAAGAAGAAGTGTTTTCATCATGCTCTTTCAAACTGCAAGAAAGTAAATGGTCTTCACTACTGCACTGCCCAGAAAACATCAAGTCCCAGCTTGGACTCCCACAGACCAGTCTGTGCAGCACTACAGAAGGAGAAGAAAGCCCCTTGTGCTCTGAGGACTCGACTCCTTCAGGTTCAGCTCTGGAGGGGATGCAGGGGTGGAAGGGAAATGAAAAACCCACCTCTGTGGAAGACCGGACCCCTGCTCAAGTCCCACCCAGTTTCCACCAGTGTCAAGAGAAATGAACCGTGATCTCATTGTAACTCCTTTCTTCTCCAGCCCCTGGTCTAGCAGCAACTCCTTGTCGGCAACGGAGAAAAAAAATTTAAAAAATCTGCCTTTGGACTAACCCCCTGCAGTTTAAGCCAGAGAAGTGGAAAAATCATTTGTGCAAAACCTCAGCATCCTGGCCACAGCATGACCACACAACCTAGCTTGGAAAAGCCAGATCAACAACCCCAGCTGCTTTTACCACGGCTAAGAGCCTCAAGACCTTCTCTCTGGAGAGGAGAAGTTGTGTAATATTAGTGAGAAGAGCACCAGAGCAGAACGGGGAAATGTCTGCGTGCAGCCAGAACAGGTCAGGAGGGGAAGCCTGGCCAGGCAGCTGCCTGCTCACATCATTACTCACTGCACCATAAATTCATCTCCTCGGTCCTTTATGTTTTTCTGGCTTTTTTCAGCTACTTTCCAGCAAAGCCATGAAACCAAGAGAGACGGTAGTACCCAACAGTTCTAAAACTAAAGATTATGAATGGACTTCTGCAAGTCCAATGCAAAGCCATCCAGGGACCATCTCGTCTGTATTTTCAGCAGGAGCTGAGGGGATGCATGGAGCTAAGGTTTTAACATATTTTAAGTCGAGATACCTTCAGAGAACCTGTCCGCTCAGCTATAATAAGGATGAGAGCAACAGGAGAGGTAACATACACTCTGCTGGGTTTGTAGATGAGATTTGAGAGCAAGCTCCCCTCAAGAAGAGCTAAAGCAGGTGAAAAATGCTGAGGACAGCTCAGGACACCAGAAGAAGTCCCAAGTCACATCCCAGTCTCCCCAAGGGCCTACCTAGAGGACCCATAATGAGTTTGGATTTCCCTTGGCCAGGAATACGCTGTGCTATGCAAGTTGACAATCTGCAGGCTCAAGAGCTCTTCTTCCCTCCCTTAACTTCCTTGGTGTGCCATGTCTTCTTGTGATTTTTTTTTTTTTTTTTTTAAACAGGAGTCACGGAACTGCTTCCCTACATGCAGTACGTGGAGCACAGCATCGCTTCCAAAATCACCACGGCTCCTGCTAGCGTCTTGGAAAGAGGTGGGCTTGCACCCTCCCGATGGATGAGGGACGTCTGAGAGGCTTGCAAGGAGACTGAGACCAAAGAACGTAGCTGAAAGTGGAAGAGGCACCAGAACAATCCCTGGCAAAAGGCTCCAAGGTTCACCAACAGGTTGGGACACACCACCTTCCTATCTCATGGGTCTGAGCTTCCTCCTGCTGCGAAGCAAAGTCCACCTGAGCAAACAGCCTGAACGGAGGGCTGGAACAAGATAACGCTGCCGTGCCACCCAGCCAGCCGTGCCACCCACACGGCAGCAAACAGCTTTTCCCTGTGCAAGAGGAAATTCGCTGCATCCCGCCGGGCTCGGCATGCTCCAAGGAACGCCACGCTGGCCCGGGAGCTACCATCTCCCGGCGAGATGTGCGGGGTCTTGGGCTGCGGCTCAGCAAGCCCCGCATCCCCGCAGAGAGGCCACGCACGGGCCGGAGGAAAGGTTCTCCTTAGAGGGGGCTGCTGTCAGTCCCACGGGCAGCTGTCAGGCAAACGCTTCCCACGCCACAAACTCCCACACGTGCTCCCAGTGAACAGGAGCCCCCCTAAGGGAGTAACCGTACCCCACAAGCATCGTGGAGAGGGATGTCCCGGAGACAGAGCAGAGCGGGGTCACCCCCAGCCAGGAGTGAAGAACCTGAGGTGCCCCCACCGCCGAGCCCCTCCTGCCCTGCTCAACCTGCTGCTCACACCTCAGCGGGGAGAGGCAGAGCTGCCGGGGCAGCTGGGCAGGGGAAGGCTTCGCCATCCGTCCCCCCGGGGGGTTCTGGCACCCACCTTCGCCAGGAAGGGGGCAGGTTCCAGCTGTGACACCGCCGGGGACCGCGGGCCGGCGTGAGAGC